TGAAGTGTTTACTCCGTTAATACTGGCAAAGACCTGCTGCAGCATTTATTGAATTATACAAGTTTTATTATCGCCCTGTCTTCTATCTGTGGAAACTCGTCTACGCTATTGATGTGAATAATCTGAAATTGTATCAAAAGCTGAAAATCAACTTTCTTCATAATTGCTTGCAGATATAACAGATTTTGAAGCAAATTTTTTGCTACATATTTTCGTTCATATCCAGTTAATCTTAGATGGAAATGACAGTGGTTTTTTGTGACAGTTCAGATTTTATCCATCCTAAATATAAAAGTTTGTAGTATACCTCTGCTAGATGCGCTTACAGTACATTTATCTGTAATGAACGTACACGTTAGTTAGTCTGACGGAAAGTAGAGAAAACTAGCTTTCTTTCAGCAAATCCGGAGCATTATCGGTATATCTGACTGTACGTATTTATCACTGTTTTTAAAGCCACATTTCTCGGCGACTTCACAGTATTTAATATGGCTATTTGATTAAGATTTGCATTCTGCAATAATGGTCGCAAACAACAAATTTAAACGGCGTGCTTAATTAACACACGTAAATTACGAATGCATTAACAACGTTGGCATTCTATTACCCTTGCTTTCAGTGACACAGCAATACATTAACTGATTTTGCAATCTTGAAATGTTGAAATATCAGGTACAAAATGCAAATTTACGTTATAACTTTATCTTAGCAATGAAAAATAAGTGGCCATGAGTTTCAGAATTACAAATTTTCGCGAACCTGAGAAATCACAATCCTAACGATTGGACCTTCTCCAAAATTTCACCCAAATTGACCGGTCGATTGTAGTTGAAATTCATCAGATTTAACAGTTCTTGGTCGGTTTTCTTCGCTTTGTTGTCAAGAAAGGTCCACAATCCAAGGGTTTGGAGATAATATGGATGGTCCATGCCAAGACAGACCTCAAAAATTTGCATAGCTTCATAAGCAAATTGAACTGCTTCGCTTCTTTGCTTTTTTTCGATCAATGCTCGCACGATATGCAGCAGCTGAAAGCCAATGTGACGGTCCATGGCGGGTAAACACCTGAAACAGCTTTTCATTAAATCTGCTTTATTGAAAATTGTTTATCCAAATGTGCTTGATGGTCTGGTAAAAGAATCGTTCATATAATTTGAACAGTCGTCAGGTGAAAGAGTCAGATGCGTTTTAGTTGCAAGGCTAACATGCTACTGCTCTTCGCAGGGCAAAAAATACTAGAAAAGTGTTCGAATTCAAAGATATTAGGCGAAAAGAAACTCGAAAAACTGTTTAACTACTAAAGTTTGGGACAACCCCCCCCCCACTGCCCCATTGTCTGTCCAATTCCAGTCTACGCGCAGCATAAAGTTGCTTATTAACTGTCAATTCCGTTGAGCAAGGAAGTCATCCGATTGTATTGCTCTGCATCCAGAACAAAATCAGGTTGCAAGTCGTTGATCTACTAACAGTAGGAATAGCATGGTATTCTAAATTATAATTCAAGATTCTTTTCAACCCTGCTAGACAAATAATTCCGCTTCTACTTCTCGATCCAAACTTTGAGTCACAAAAATGATCTTCAACTTTTAATTTACAAAGCGTTTTTTTATGCTGCAACAGCTAGTATCATCAGATAAATACTATTTCGAATTAAATACGACAAAATTTTCGATTCTTGGCCCTTTGTTGAAATTGCAGATTGTTCGCGAATACATAGTTGAGGACATCAAACACGCATATTAGCAGTTCATTACCGGCGCATTTCGCTACCATCGAAGCATCAGGACATTAGGACACTGGTTCTAATTGTTTGCCGTATGATATTAAGGCTGTTCTATAACCAAATATGTTGCAATTGAAATTTAGCAATATTTTAATATTTTTGTCTAAAACTATGGACCGAGAAGCAGGTCGAATTCTGATGTATTCGCATCTGATATTGGATCGGTGCAAAAAACCTGTCATAAAAAAAATTCTTAATAATATACCATCAGGGATTGGAAAGGCGCTTGCATCTGTCATGAGGTGATTTTGCCAGCTGCTTATTTACTGCCTTAAATGTAAGTATTTAAGAATCTTAAAGAGAGCCTATTTGCCAATCTATAAAAGAGAAGCTGGGCATTTGATAAAGGAAAACTAAAACGAGCTTGAGGTGCAGATATAAAACAGTGGTGATAGTGAACGAAGCATAAATGAAGCTCCACCCGACATCACTAATAAACGCACTCTGGCTAAAATAGACTGCAATTATCAAAGAAACAATCAAATACAGTAGTTTTATACGAACCTTTGCCTTAACATAGCAGCATGTTAAAAGAATACCAAACCTTTTGTCGCCAGTTCGACTGGCGATCTTTGTAACCTGATGGGAAATGCTTCAACCACTTCAAAGAATATTTTCAACAACTACTGAACGGTATGCTAGAAAATGTCATTAACACCTTGAAAAATATTTATATCAGTTAAACTGCGGTGGTTCAAACACCTGGGAGGTTTCAGCCATCTTTGAGATTGATAGCGAAATACGGCAGCAACGAACAGTGACCAACATTGCTCAATTAGAACGTCAGGGCGATGATGACTGAAGCAATGTTATGAGTGACGACAGCTATGTACTGGCAAAGAGTTGAGGAAGTCGCTGACGAGATCTGAAGCATGTGGACGACACGCGGTTATTGCAATGAAGCCGGGAGAATTTCAGAAGGCAATGTTTCCATGGAAATAGCTAGCGCCTAGTCTATCATTCCTGCACGATATTTTCCAGAAGGACGACATGAAAATTTGCAGAGAAGCTGCGCTGCATTCTAATAATGTATCGATGATTACTGATGGCGGAAATGTAAAACAGATGCTCAGGAAAGAATCAGTAAGATCGAAACTGCTTATAATAGGCTGCAGCAAAAGCAGTGAAAAGCTGTTGTCAGCACATCAGCGAAACTTCACATCTATTTGACGGCTGTTCGGTCTATAATGATATTTGCCGCGGAAAAGTGGCTGTGATCAAGAAGGAAACTAGCGCCCTGTATATGCTAGAACACACCCATTTGCATCAGATGATCGGTTGCATATAAGTTGACGAGGATCGCGCGTGTAAAATTATTTGAAAATTCAAGGAGAGGTAATGAACAAGTCTGAACGGCTGTGTCTGCAGACTAAGCTGCCTGGGTCAGGTCGATCATCGTCTCAGTGCTCATCTACAGCCATAAATCGTGGACCATGACTGAAAAACTTAGATCCCGGGTACAAGTTGCTAAAATGCGCTTTATTAGACAAATCGCTAGCTTCGCGCGTCTCGACGTGGTCCGGAGAACAGATATCCGAGAGCGTTTGTGTACAACCGCTGCTTCTCCAGAGTCGCTGTTGAGAAGTCACTGCTGCAATGGTTTGAGCACGAGTTGCGAATGCCTCCAGGAAGGAAGGCGAAGCAATTGCTGTTTACCCAGCTGACCGGCCGAAGACCTCTGGAATGGCCACGAATGATCCGAGACAACTGTCTCGACAGACTTTATTGCAGTCTCAGGTAATCTAATCTACTGTCGAAGCTGAAACGCTGGCATAAGATCGGAAACGTTGTGGACACCGTCTGACACGTCTGCATCCGCCACCCGAAAGGAAAAACAGACATCGAAATTGACTGACAAACTGAAGGCAAGAAGCGTATCGACCAGAGATTAACATAAACTTTCCTTACGATAAAAAAATGTACTAAAACTTCATTCCTCAACTAAACACGCTAAACACGACGCGACAAGCGGCTGATCAAGGTTATAATTGGAGTGTGCTTAGCCTTATTGAAAAAGACAAAAACAAGTAGAAAACTATTTGAATCCGAACGAATTTATACGCATCGCAAAACAAGCCTGGCATAGCGATTGGCCATCGGTCATACCAGACATTTTAAAGGACAGGAAGGAGTGCAAATGGCGATAATAAACTCAGGGGTCGTAACTTTGGCTCGTCTCACGGCTACAATGCATCTGTTGATAACCGACCAGAAACCAGCCCAATGTGTAACCCGTTAATAAACGAATGAGGCGAATGAGCAGTGACAGCAGTACTCTTCGTCGGTATATAGTGCAATTAACGCGACAGGACTGAAACGCATTAAGGCGGAAAGGTAAAGTATTTTACGAGTAATTTTTTCTGCAAAATAACATTACTGAAAGTCGTCAAATACCTCTTGTAAACGTCGCAAACACGTTTCAGGCTGTCAACGTTCACCTGGCATTGCTCATTTTCCGGGCATATCTGCATGTAGGCGGTGAGTAGTCTGCAATAATAAATATTTGTCGGATGCAAAAGTTTTCGAGCGTTATCCAAATAGATTTTCGCCTTTTTTACTTCTTCCGACCCATTTTGGAAACCGAAACTTTTTGGTAGCGCTTTCATGAACACTTGTGCTTTCAAAATGTACTCTGTAGATATCTTGGCTCCGCATTTGGAGCAGTCCTGCTTCACCGGCTCACTTTCTTCAGTAATGACTATGGGCTGGTCGCAGTTGGTATTTGGGCATTTTATGCTAGTTAACAGATCGTCTTCTTTGCCTTTACACCGACTGCACTCGCAATAGAAGTACCATTTTTCATACAGTTCCTTCTGCCGCTGATATTTTGAGCGAGCAATGTCAACATAGGAAATGAATGCCTTGGACGGATCATTAACGTCGACTCCTGTAACAAGAGGCCTTAGTACCGCCTGGTAGCCATTGAACACAAGAACAGTATTTGGAAAACAGCTGTGGTCATATTTAGATATACCTATAAGCAAAATTATTAAATAGCAATGAAAAACAATCTTTCGTTAAAATGCATGACGACATGAATGTAAAACCTAACGCAACGCCATTACATTGAACCTTTCAAATCTTCCCCGTACGAATAGCGCAAAGGGCACTACATTCCTTTCCTTCTTGACAGCATTCACAATGAATTGCTCAGTTCTTCCGTTCTTCTTGTCAAAAATCGTCATTCTCTCATAAACGAGTAGAAATCATGATGACATGATCTTATAATGCTTTCTCAGAGATTATTGCGAACAGTATCATTCATCCTTTCAACTGGGTTTGGTTTATAACTTGAGTGTCGTTTTCCTAGACAGAAAGCAAAAAGAATCCTGTAAGCCATTGAAGTAGAGAACTTCGTTACGAACTGTTCTGAAATTCACTGCAAGCCTTCACAGCTACCATTGCGATTTAGGACTGTGAACTTAAATGTACTTCGAGCTGTCATACGATTCCATGCTTGGATCGTTGCTCACTCTCCGACGTGAAAATGCCGAGATTGAACGGTGCCATGCAAACTCGCACATAAACTGCTTGAAAAACGGAAAACAGCCTTAGTAAAAGGAAGACGTACTAATAGGAAGAAAATAATTTCTTTGATGATATATTTCAGCTAATTTGAATACAGGATTAATGTCTGATAGCGGGACAGCATGAACTTGAAATTTTACCTGTAGGCTCATGTGTATGTGCAATGTGCTAATGAAATCTTGTAATGCAGCGAGAACAGGAAGATTTCATCATGATTTAAATTGATAGCTAATTGACGTGTCAAAATGATCAACAGGTCTAAATCCACATTTTTGATCAGTGAAGTAAATGGTTGAAATCGAAAAAAATACTGTAAGACAAAAGATTTTAATTCTATTAACAACGGAATTGTATCAGGCCATCAAATGATATGCAGTTGAAATGCATCATAATTCAAATATAATCTTTTGTTTAAAAGACATCATGGCACTTCGACATTCACATTTTGGGGAATGTATTCCAGGTTTAGTGGAAGTAGTAAAGTACAAGTATCTTTCATTTAGACTGATTTCTGTGAAGAACGCGATGACATCTGTCAAATCAGGGTTACAACTGTTACTGTCAGCTGACAATTCTAGGTTGTATGAAGGCTTTCAATTCTGCTTCAGAGGTAAGAGAAGATTCCTACCATGTTGTATCTTACCATGGTTACTCAGTAAACTTGCGCAGGATGAAACTGGCAGTCAAGCCAAACTGCATAACAAAAATTCATTTAAACTAAACTTCCCTTTCGGTTTAATATAATTAATCGCAGTAGAATCACTTTTTCGATAGCCAGCAATGCTACGAAGAGAGACGATAACTTCAGCTTTGCCTTTCTAACAGCTGTCAGCATTCACAGTGGAATGCAACAGTTGCTTCTGTCTGGATACGTTCTGCCCTGGAATGCGATTTCGATGTTAAGGCAATTCAGTCGAAAGATAGCCGGATATGCGGCTCTATAAACCTCCCAGAGAACATAAGTGATTATCATTAGAGGAAATAAGAGGCCACATGCTGGATTAGTTGCTTAGCGGTAGAGTTAACTGCAAAAATAAGGCAATGTGGTTGATGGCGCTGTAAAACGGGTCAGGCTAGTTCACGCAGAACGCGTGTTACAAAGTTCATTTATTTAAATCACGAACTCCGACAGTTTCATGTTTCAGCAACGTGGATGTGAGATAAGATTCATGAAAAACAGGCTGACACATGAATCTAAAAGTTAGAGCATGACACACAGCTGAAACGACGCAAATAATAACCTCGATATGCAAGGAAATAACGAAATGCAAGGGGAAATGAGGAGGAAGGTCAATCAAAGTCCTTTTTTACAGATTAAATGACAGACAGATCAAATGATTCGGAAGCATCAAGGAAGCGAGTTTAGTAAATATGGAGGCACTTGAACAACGAATATGTCAGAAAGACTATATATATATGGATGGAAAGTAGGAGGAAGAGATCGACTGGCGAATTGGAATAGCCAGTGGCGTTCTGCGTGAACTAGCCCGACGCACTGTGACTAAAGCAGAGCTCAGTCTGAAAACTAAGTTCTCAATATTCAAGTCGATCTTTATCCCCATACTTACCTACGGGCATGAATTGTGGACCATCACTGAAAAACTTCGAACCCGGGTACAGGCTGCTCAAATGAGCTTTGTTAGACGAGTCGCTGGCCTTACGCGTCTAGACATGGTCCGGAAGAGTGACATCCGGAAGAGCCTTGGATTACAGCCTTTGCTTCTCCAGATTGGGAAGTCACAGCTGCGATGGCTTGGGCATGT